AAATATTTTCCACGTCAATGCCAACTATGTTGAAATATCCCCCAGCCTCCTCAAAGGCCGAAATCCTACCTCAAAGAGATGCTGCATCTTTTTATGCTCGACTTTGCCCCATTTGTTAATTGTGACATTGTAAAATTGATTGCACAGCTATGTGGGACACAAAAAAATCATGCACAAAACAATGGCTCCTCCATTTGCATGTGCGGTGGGACTTCATAAAAGCTACTCTCCTAAAAACTTAAACTGAATAATCTGTTCTGCATTGGGTGAAAATATTGAATGGCTTGTGTAGGGGGACAAACACTTGTGTAAGGCAACCACAAGATTCTGGCAAAAGTCAATGCCAGAAGCAGGGATGGTTTGGAAGGAAAGCAGGGGAGTCCCCTGACCACTTTGGAAAAGTTTATCTTTGGGGACTGTAACTCCCAGAATTTCCAAGCTCACCCTCCCCAGACCTCCTGAGGCACTTGGGTTGCCTGCCTTTGAGTGTAAAAGCCAAGCTAAGTGCTATCGATCCAAGATCTGAAGGGACTATCTTTAAGCCCGGGCTAACCTGGCATAAAGCCACCACTTAGCTCCTATTTATTATTCAGCAAATGGCCAGGGGAGAGAAGCAAGGCTGCCGCTTGTGAGAGTCTCTTGGCAGCCTGCCCTTTTGGGAAAGGCTGGCAGTGAATCTAATCTACAGAGAGCAGAAGAGTTGGAGAGCCAGTGAAATAAAAGCAGGTCAAGGGCACAAAGGAGTGGGGAGGTGGAGGTATTCGATAACGGTGAATTGAAAAGGAGGGTGGAGGAGATCCCTCAGCTCTTATCAGATAATGGAAGCTGCTCTGTGCATTTCAAAGATGGCATTAGCTCTGGCTTGATCGGCCAGCCACTGCCTGCCTTTCACCTTAGGTGTCAAAACAGAAGAGGTAGGACGAGAAACTTGGGAGTCTGCTTTCAAAGCCACTGGCCTTTGCTCATAGAGACTTTGAAAGCCATCTCTGCCCTGAGAACATAAGAACAATCCTTCTGGAGCAGGCCAAGAATTCAGAGCTTAGGAAAGTCACTTGGATGGAGGAACTATACCTCCCAGATTCCTTCAACCAGCTTGGCCAGTTGAAGGCACTGGTGGTTGGGGTTTATGGGAGAGTTATAAGTTGTTCTGCCCTGGTTCAGTGCTAGGGAATCATGG